ACCCTAACATAGACTTGTTCGGCTTGCCTCGAGGGGCATGGTACAAAGGTGACTCATAGAATCAAGAATGCAATGTGTTTTACATCACATTAGCTACTTGAAGCAATGCAATTAAGGAAAAAAAGAGATTGTGGGTTTTACATGCTTGAAAATGCTGCATATGTTTGCTTTTATTTTTAAATTTTCATTTGAATACACTTTACATGTTATGTTTATGTATTTTAATTTTAGATAATAGGTTTTTTAAAACATTTATTATAAAACTTAAGTTTATATTTTTTATTAAGATTATGTTTAATATTTTTTGAAGTTTTTGCATTTTTTCAAAGTTTTTGGCATTTTTTTTTGAATTCTTAGATTTTTTTTTTGATTTTTAGCTTTTTTTTTTGGTAATTTTGCACCTTGCTTAAAAAGGCGCGTGCCTCGCCTTGCGCCTTGTGCCTCGGGCGCAAATTGGCTCTTGCGCTTTTAAAACACTGGGTTGGAAAGGTGGAAGGCAAGATACCTCTCACTAGGGGGTAGAATTGCTCTCATCAGAAGTGTGCTATTACCTTTCACTGCTGAAGATCTCAACAGAAGTGGCCAACAAGATAGAGAAATTTCAGAGGGACTTCTCTGGGAAGGGGCAAAGGGAAAGTGGGAAAAGGTATGCAGGCCGAAAGAGATGGGGGTGGTTTTGGTTTAGAAGAGTAAAAACCTTTAATAAAGCCTTATTGGGTAAATGGCTATGGAGGTTTGGGTTGGAGAGGGAGAGGGAGTCGTTATGGAGAAGAGTGGTGGTAAGGAAGTATGGGGTTGGAACCGAGAGAGGTATCAAACTCCTAGGGGGTGAGTGTATGGAAAGGTATAATGAAATTTAACCAGGACTTCAGGGGCTTGGTTAGGTTTCTTGTGGGAGCTAGAGCTAGAGTGAGGTTTTGGGAAGACGATTGGAGTGGGGTTGGGAAGCTGTGTGACTTACGCCCAAGACTGTATAGGTTGGCTGAACAACAGGTGTCAATTGGCCACTGTTATGAAGTTAGAGATGATCAGGTGGTATGGAGTCCCAATTTCAGAAGACCATTGCTTGATCAAGAGGTGGACTGCATATTACTACTGCAGGACAAATTAGAGATTTGGAGCAGACCAAAATCTGCATTATCTGAAGATGGTTTGTGTTGGAAGGAGTATAGGAATGGAAAATTCTTGGTGAAATCCTTCTACCTGGCTCTGATCAAAGAAGATATGGCTGCTGATCAAATAAGTGGAGGTTGGGGGAATCCAGTCTCACCAAGAGTCGAAGCATTTGCTTGGTTGGTTGCGTTGGACAGTGTTCTCACAATAGATCATTTGAAGTGTGGAGGTTTCAGCATGGCTAGTTACTGTTGCTTATGCAAGACAGACGAGGAAACTGCTCTTCACTTGTTCTCTTGCAAAGTGGCAAACTTCATTTGGAAGTTATACTATTTCCTCTTTGGGGTTCCTGTATTCCATCCTTTCTCAACAGTAGAGATCTTCTCTTCTTGGCCAAGGTTTAAAGGAAGTAAGAAAGCTAGAATCATCTGGAGCTGCATCCCATTGCAATTTGTAGGACATTATAGTGTGAAAGGAATAGAAGGCTCTTTGAGGATAAGGAAAAGGGCATTGAAATGGTAGTGGCTTTGGTTGGAAAGCTTGTCACAAGCTGGTGGAAACATTTTGGATATTTATGAGATTCAAGCTTGTAATGTGAATCTTTTTCATTTAGACTAAGTGTACTGGTATGTCATCTTGACACCCAATCAGATTGTACTCTCTTTTTAATTTTAATAAAGTTTTATCTTTAGTCTTCAGAAAAAATCTAAAGTCTCACCTACTGTGTTCTAAAATTGGTTTTTCTCCCTCATACATACCCTTAATTAGATTGTACTCTCTTTTTCATTTTGAACCCCTTTCTTTTCCAAGACCCACCATATTATCTCTCTAGGAACTCTATCATATGCCTTTTCTAGATTAATGAACACCATGTGAAAATCTTTCTCCTTCTTTTTGAACATTTCTATCAATTGTCTCAAAAGAAATTTAGCTTCCATGGTTGATCTCCCGGGCATAAAGCCCAATTGGTTCTCTTATACATTTGTTTCAAGTTGTAATCTTTGTTCAATTTTTCTCTCCCAAAGTTTCATAGTGTGGTTCATAAGTTTAATCTCTTGATAATTGTTACAACTTTGTATATCACTTTTGGTTCTTAAATATAGGCACCATACCATTGTTTCTCCAATCATTAGGCATTTTCTTTTCTTTCACTATCTTATTAAATAGCTTGGTAAGCCATAACAAGCCTACCTCTTCCATGCCTTTCCATACTTATATTGGAATTGCATCAATTCCTAATGCATTTCCCTTCATCTTATTTGGTGCCTCTTTTACTTTAGTAGGCCTAACTCTATGAAAGTACGTATCATTTTTAACACTATTAGTATTACTAGTTTCTTCTTCATTAGCACCCTCTCCCTGTTGTTCATTTAATATTTTTTTCAAAATAGTTTTTCTATCCTTGTTTGATTTCCTCATCTTTTAGCAAGACTCTTTATTCATCTTTAATGCACCTAATATGGTTTAAATTTCTATCTTTCCATTCTCTTAGCTTTGCTATTTATATCCTTTTTCTCCATTTTTGATGCCTAATTTATGGTAAAACTCATCATAAACCTTATATTTAACTTCATTCACTTTCTTTTTAACTTTCTTTCTTATGGTTTTATGTTTTTTTCCAATTTTCTACATTTTTAGTTTTTTGCCATTCTTTGTAGTATGCTCGTTTTAATCTAATTATATTTTGAACTTCTTCATTCAACCACCAAGTTTCTTTAGTACCTTGCCACTTGCCTTTATATTCCACTAAGACATCTTTTGCTACTTTTGTTATATTGTTTGCTATTTCAAGCCAAATATCACTAATCTTTTCATCTAAATTCCAATTCCCTTCTATTATCAATCTGTTTCTAAATTGATCTAGCCTTTTCCCTTTCATTTTTCCCACCTAGTTCTTGAACACCTATTTTCTTCCCTATTTCTCTTTCATTTTTCCCATCTCTTTCATTTTCTAAGTTTTTCCTGAAATAACTTTGCAATCTTTACACATCATTTGTTTTGTTCTCCTTGTAAGAAAAAAAATCTATTTGGCTTATGTTTGACTCACTTTTAAATGTTATTAAGTGTTCATTCTTCTGGAAAAAGGTGTTTGAAATTGCCTTATCATAAGCTACTCAAAATCTAATATTGTACCTCCTGATTCATTCCTCTCCCCAAACCCAAATCCTCCATGCATCATATCATATTCTACAGTTCTTTTCCCTACATGCCCATTTAAGTATCATCCTATAAAAATCTTCTCTTCATTTGTAATTTCTTGGATTAGTCCTTCTAAGTTTTCCCAAAATTATGTTTTAATGTTTTCTTCTAGACGTACATGAGGTGCATAAGCACTAATTATGTTAATAATTTCCTCACCTAAAACAAGTCTAGTTAAAATTATTCTATCCCCAAATATTTTGACATTTACAATTTTTTTTTTAAATCCTTTTCTACTATTCTCACTACACCTTTTCTATTATTTACCTCTTAGGTATACCATAATCTGTAGCCATCAATTTCTTTAGCTTTTTTACCATTTCATTTAGTTTCTTGTAGGCATGCAATATTAACCCTTCTCCTCTTCATAGTTTCTACTAATTTCATATTTTTTCCCCTGTTAATGTTTCTACATTCCAAGTGGTTAAATGAAGTTGTGTTTACCCACTCTTGTCTAGAACGATGCTGGAACCCTTGCCTATTTGACACCACAACTAGGTTTTGCTGTGGCGGGTCACTTACGGGGACCATCCTAGCAAACCCTTGTCCACTTAACAGTTAACCTGCACTCGGGTTAGGGTGCAACGTGTTGTTTTTGGAGAACACCCTTGTATGAGCATGGAAAGACAAATTAGGATCCATATCATCAGAGTTTGGCAAGACTTTTAGTGTTGGCTGCCAACTTGGCACAACCTCCTCCATTATCTGGGCTTGGAACCAGCAGTGTAAGACAAGATCACATTGGTGGAGTTAATTGGGTTCAGATGAAACACACACTACAAAATGAGCCCTGCCTTTGAGACTAGGTGCACCCTTTGAAGATACTGTATTTGGGTCTGTCTCCTATAACTTGCTACCTGTCCCATGCATCGTGAATTGGGACCCACCATTGAATGGGTTTCAAGTAAAATAATGTCTATTCTGAAAATCAGCCTAATCAGATGAATTTTGATCATCTGATTTGAGCATTATTTGCAAAGCTGTTTTTTTTTTTTCTTTCTTTCCTTCTTACTTGAGGAGGGTGGGTCTTGGTGCAACGGTTGGGTTGCTCCATTGCAACCTGGGTGACTAGGGTTGGAAACAACCTCTCTGTATGTGCAGGGGTAAGGCTGCGTACATCTGTCTCTCTCCAGACCCTGCATTGGCGGGGGCCTCTTGCACTGGGCTGCCCTTTTTTCTTTCTTTCTTGAATTTGATCCTTGTCCTTTTTATGGGTCTATAATGGAGCTCTCGTCAAGGTGGTTGTAGAACATTCTGTATAGGTCCCAAATCCTGCTTAGGCTATTTCTGCTCCCTGCCAAAAAAATTGTTGTAATCATGATTTTTGGTTCAGCACCTCATGTACAGTGGTGGTATGTTTTTTCTCTTTCATTCCATGCTTGGCTTTTGTTTGGGCACTTCATGCATCTGTATACTTGTTGTATACAGTCTATTTTTCCCTTTAATGAATTTCACACTGCAAGCATGTTTCTCATTCTAACAAGGCCCTGCAGTTGGCCATGATGCTAGTCCAATGTTGTGCGTGGCCTCCTGAGTCAGAAGGCTAACACTTAACCTATCCATTTAGGCTTGCTTTTAGATAATGTCTCGGCATATTTATTGGTAAATAAACAAGTAATTGTCATGATCTCATTACTGTGCCATTGGGTATTGGAAACAATTTTTGACTTTCAACTTTCCTTTTTCAGATTGTGGCAAAAACCATCAAGTCTTCTTTGGATGAACTGCCTGGTTTCCCCAGAACACAGATTGGATTCTTGACTTTTGACAGCATGCTGCATTTTTATAATTTGAAGGCAAGTGATCTTTCTGGAACTGATTACTTTGGATCATTCTTGATCATATACATGCTCAGGTGTATGATTTGGCAGATCATTCAACTACAGAAATGTTTTGGTGGAAGGTGACTCAAATGTAGTGGTGTGATGGTTTAAAAGCAAGGCATTAGGAGCTTGGAAATACAGGTTACCACGAGGGAAGTTAGAAATTGGTTACTGAACTAATGACATTGATTTGAGCACTTAGATCTGCCAAAAACATGACTGATGCACTGGTAGCCAAGGCAGGGGATGAATAGGGAACAACTGTTTTGGTGGATGGCCCCTCCGGGACCTAATTATAGCAAAGACAGTGTATCTTGTGGGGATTGGTATCTAGGGCTAGTCTATCAGAAGGGGTGCTTGAAACAATCATTCTTGTACATAATTCTTTTTAACATATTAATTAATTTCTTGATTGTTACCAATAGAAAAAAAGTCTCAGGTGTAGCCCACATTAATCTTTAATTTTGCTTGCTCCAGTCATCTTTGTCACAGCCTCAAATGATGGTGGTGTCAGATTTGGATGATATATTCGTACCATTGCCAGATGATCTCCTTGTCAATTTATCAGAGTCAAGAAATGTGGTGGATGTATTCCTAGATAGCTTGCCATCAATGTTTCAGGAAAATTTAAATGTGGAATCTGCTTTTGGTCCAGCTCTTAAAGCAGCCTTCATGGTTATGGTACGTTGCCTTGTGAATGCCTGTTAAATGTTTTCTTTTCAATGTTTTATTTTCTCTCTATGACTAGTATCTATCGTGATGCTAGGAGGACATTATGATCATTTAATGACTTAACATCAGTTTGTACTGCACTTGCACAACAGAGTCAACTTGGAGGAAAATTGTTGATATTCCAGAGTACACTGCCATCTCTTGGTATTGGCCGCTTAAAGTTACGTGGTGACGATCCTCGTGCATATGGAACAGATAAAGAATATGCAATAAGAATACCAGAAGATCCGCTTTATAAGCAAATGGCTGCTGACTTTTCCAAGTTCCAGATAGGAGTGAATGTCTATGCTTTCAGTGACAATTACACTGATATAGCTTCCCTAGGTGCATATTATATTGATATTGACTATTAAAGTGCATCTGTATTCATATTTTCAAGATATATATTATTTTGGCGACAGGAACACTAGCAAAATATACTGGTGGCCAGGTGTACTACTACCCAGGTTTCCAATCAAGCATTCATGGTGAGAAGTTGAAATATGAGCTCACAAGGGACCTTACAAGGGAGACTGCCTGGGAAGCTGTAATGCGCATAAGATGTGGGAAAGGTATTCTGCTGCTATTCTGTTTCTTGTGAGCTTGTGATCCTAGCTCTATTGGTTACTTAGCAGATGAATTTGTAGGTTAGTATTTTAAAAATGCAATGCACATTCTTGTTTCTTGTTTGCCAGGGGTGCGGTTTACTACTTATCATGGACACTTCATGCTAAGGTCCACAGATTTATTGGCACTTCCAGCTGTAGACTGTGATAAAGCCTTTGCAATGCAGTTGTCTTTGGAAGATACATTACTGACAACTCAGACTCTGTATTTCCAAGTTGCTCTTCTGTATCCTTCAATTCTTGAATTGTCTGGCTACCACTATATACAGGGATGCATGTATTAGATATAATGTGTTGCCTTTCCACACAACTAAGGTACTTGTATCTTGAAAAAAATAGAATGTAATTTCTGGCCATTTATTTGATCTATTATCTGCATCTCATGTTGTAATTAAATGTTATGCATCTAGAATATTCATGAAGGTGGTACTTGGTTTCTTATTTGGTTATCCACTGTTGGAAATATTTTTCTGGCTGTGAATCTAGCTCTATTTATTCCACTGTTATTCTTGGGTTTGAATATGGTTAGTGATCAAGTCCAAGATGGTACTGTTAGAGATGTGAAAATATGCTATTGACTTTTTATACTAGTGGTTGGAGCTTCCTTAATTTGCAACAGATACACTTCATCTTCTGGTGAAAGGCGTATCAGAGTTCATACAGCAGCAGCACCTGTGGTAACAGATCTTGGAGAGATGTACCGCCAGGCTGATACTGGTGCCATTATTTCCTTGTTTAGTAGGCTTGGTAAGATTAAAATTAGCAATTCTGTTGTTTTTTTCATTTGTTGATTTGCAACATGTCAAAGAAACTGACATGATTAAAAGGACAATAATAACCCTTTGTTAATTGAGTAAAATACCTATCATGTGCTTTCTCTACCCATTTGCATCATAACTGAAGGGGAAGAGAGTTGCCATTGATGGAGAAGACATTGATTCCATAATAGGGAAGTAGGATGATTTCTTGTCCTAAATGCTTCAAGAACTTCCAGAATTCAAGGATTTTTTTTGTAATAAAATAAAATTTATTAAAGGAAAAAGAAAAATACGAGGAAGGTGACCAGAAAGGACCCAAGTATAACAAAGTTCATCAACAACTCCATCCCAGAAACACAAGTATGGCAGAAAAAAAAAACCAAAAGCAATCTTGATTGGATCAACCCCAAATAAACCACCTTTCAATCTAGCAAATACTCTTGAGACCTGAATATTTCTGAGTTTTCTTTGAGTTCTAAGTCGTCTCAGTTCTGAAGGAATCTTCTTGAGATCATTTGGAAATCCAGAATGCTTGTTGATCCTTTCTATCTCCAAAATCACGTTTTTTTTTTATCAGCAAAAGATTTAACTTTTGGCTCATCTAGGTGAAAGTCTATGATATTGGACCATTTTGCTTTGGTAACTGAGGCATGGCGATGAGGAAAAGATGAGGATGGAGGAAAGGATGAGGGGGAGAAGAGAGATTCGGTTTTAAGAGTTGACATTGGGGAATTCATAAAAAAAAGAGTTGACATTGGGAAGGTTGGGAAGATGGAGAAAAGGATGAGGATACTGAACGCTAGTCTGGTAGGAAGATTTGTTGGACTGGATCTGGATGTAGACAAGGTGGAAGCGTGGGTGAGTATTGAATGGGGATGTGACAAGGTTATGGGGGTTTGGAAGTTGGACACAGGACTAAACTCTTCATGTTCCACTGTAGAGATTGGGCTGAGAAGGTGCTGGAAGCAAAACCAAAGATGGAGAGGGACCTCGACCTCAGACAAGGTGGAAGCGTGGGTGAGTATTGAATGGGGATGTGACAAGGTTATGGGGGTTTGGAAGTTGGACACAGGACTAAACTCTTCATGTTCCACTGTAGAGATTGGGCTGAGAAGGTGCTGGAAGCAAAACCAAAGATGGAGAGGGACCTCGACCTCAGACTGGGGTGGTGGTTTCCTGCAGCAGGTGCCTTGAATGAAGGATGAAAGAGTAAGAGAAGGGCTATTCGGATTGCTGTGGTTGGAATACCATTACATGCTTGGAGTATCTTTACATTTGAAGAGATAGGGAAGTACTGCAGGAGGTTTTTGAAATTTGACGATGATAATAGGAGCTGGGATAGATTGGATATATCTGGACTACTAGTAGAAGTAGAGGATGTTGCAGACATTCTGAATAGAATGAAGTTGCTATTTGCAGTGGAAAGCTACGAATTAAGGATAGTTGTGGAAGGAGAAGATTGTACATCTTTGATCTGGGCTTAAAAGAATAGTGGGAAAGGCGAAGTTTCATGTGAGGGGGAGGAAGGTTTTGATAGTAGGGACATAAATCACAGTGCAGACAGTGAGAAGATGAAGAGTTGTTCAGAGGAAGATGGAGATGAGGTGGGGGGAAAGAAGGGCAATTGTGATATTTTGGATAAATTGAGTGAGGGGGACTTAATAAGGAAGGACATGTGGAAGGGAGACGGGGAGTATAGAAAACCAAGGGACACATGAAAATGGTGGAGGTAAAGAAACAACATGGGGGGCTGAGGGTCCTAATGAGATATTAAGGTCGCATGGGGCCCACAGGCTAAGAAGAGATTTTAACAATTTTCGAAGGAGCCATGTCTCAAGAAGGAAAGGGGGAGGATTTGAGAAAATAGGGTGAAGATTGGGTGTGGGTGATAGGGAGGTTTGGGGAGGCGAGAAGAAGTTGGAGGTTTGGCCAGGGAGAGGTATCTTTTCAGCGGAAGGAAAGTTAAAACATCACAAGGAAGGAGACCTACAAGGAAAGAAAATGCCAAGGAAGGTTGTTGCTACTCAGGGAGGATGCTGCAGCCACTCATAGGTAGTGTTTAGTGGGTTCTACACCACTATTGTCCAGCTCTTCTCTTCTGGCAGAGGGAGTACTGGTGTTCTTGGTAAAAACACAGTCAATAGATGAAGGCATATAATCAGTGAATGATGAAGAAGATGTGATGAGCACGAAAAGGCCTGATGATGAAACAGCCTGAGAAAGAGTTAACTGCTCCTAAACACTCTTAGGCTCTCGGCCAAGGTGGTGGTGGAGGAGAGACATTCGGTGGAGCACCATTGGAATGAGTCTAGAGAAGAAGGGGATGTTGGTAGGAAGAGGGAGACCACGGAAGAAGTTGGAAGGGGGGACTAGAAGGTAATAATGTTTAATAGGAGAAGAAAAGTTGGGAGCCTGATGCAGGATCGGAAGGAGAGAAGGGAGGAGAGGAAGAGGTTAGGAAAGGGTGCCCAGCGAAAAAAGAGGGGGGAGAAAGAAGAAACAGTGAAGGGGAAAGAAGGGCCTTGGAAGGGCTCCCTAAAGGTAGTTTGGAAATTAGTACTTTAGTTTATTTATCAAAAAAAAAAAAATAATACTTTAGTTGAGGAGGTAACAATGGGAAATATCTTTGGATTTGTTTTTCTGGGGAGGGGAAGACTTTTCAAGGAGGGCTTTCGAACAGTTCAAGAAAGCCGAGGAGGACGAGAAGAATAAGAGAGGAAAGCCTGGTAAAGAACAAAGGCTGGGACGAAGGAGGAGAGGGGGAGGAATTAGGAGAGGAGGATATGTAAGGAGGCAGAGCTCAATTGCGTCAGGGGTCAGGTAGGTGGTTAAGGATGAGGGTGTATGAGTTGGAAACTTGGAATACTAGGGGTTGGAGGGAGAAAGAGGGAGAAAAAAGAATAGTGGTTAGGAATGGAATCAGGCAAGAACCAGAGGCAGCTCTGTTTTAGGAAACACATTTGGATTCCTTCAATATGAATCTGAAGTAGGAGATTTGGGGGAGGGACAGTGGGGATTGGCTGGAATTGGATGCTGAGGGGGAGTGGCCATATTTTGGGAACCAGGGGTAGGGGTCTACAGGAAGATAGGTGAAAGGCTGGCGGGTTTTTGGTTTCAGTATGTTTGTCGGAAGCGAAAGGAGACCGGTGTTGGGTTTTAACAAATGTCTGGAGTTGTATCTCCTTGTTGTGTGCTGGTTTAAATGGAATGAGAGGAACAGGAGATAGATGGAGGATAAGCCCAAAAGTATCGAATTGCTGGCGGCTTAGTTTGGGCATCTTGACTCGGTTGGATTTTGATGATCCCTGAATTTGAACAAGATGAACAGTTCAGATTTGGGGGAGAACTTTTGGAATGTTCCAGATATTCTGAATTGTAGCTGTGATCAGTTTGCATTTTTGGTTATTAGATGTTTTGTTTTGGTGAGGTGCCCTCTTGTCACTTCTTAACCTGTAACCTTTTTTCTTTTTAATAAAATTTATTTTTCTTACCCTTCAAAAAAAAAAAAGAGATCATTGAGATTCATTAGATTAAGATATGAACCGAGTTTGGTACAACGTTGGAACACTCCAACCAACCCAGATATACAGCTTTACACTTTTTCCCAAAACGAAGTATGTCTGTTAAGCCCCTGCTCTGCTAATACATCTGCCATCCCATTTGCATTTCTTCTAATCCAGCTAATGTTGGTGTTCAGTTCTCTTGATTGGTTATCTTCCTGAATACATGCCTGTAACTCCAAGTTGCTGAAATTGATTGACTTGTCCAAGATATGACCAGTTGTGAGTCCCCTTCCACTTCCAAATCTTTGACAAGGTGTTTTGCTTGCCTTAGTCCTTGTAGAAATGCCAAAGTTTCAGTTCTAACCGAATCACCAAAACCAATTCATCCTGAATAAATGGCCACCACCATATGATTTCTAAAACTCCTACGCCTGCCCTTACCGGGTTTCCTATGGAACTACAATCAAAATTCAGTTTCAACTTCTTTTCAGCCAGGGCTACTTCTGACCAAGATCATACCATGTCGTTCACTGAGAAACAATGAAATAGTTGCAAAGTTTTTACCCAATGTGCAACTCTTACTTTTATACCTTCTATAAGCTCCTCAGACCTGTTCTTGTCGTTTGTCAATTCTTTGGTTTCTTTCTTCCCAGAAGGTCCACACTAAAATCACATTCTTCTCAAAAGTCTGATATGCTTATGATTTTTTGTCTTCTCTGGCTACATCCTTTGCACTTCTAACAGGCCTCAATCTTTCTTGAACATCTTCTTTGATAAGATTATTATTTTCTTCAGATCCTACTCCATTCTTAATCCCAGGCTTCCAATTTCTCTTTCAGTTCCTTTAACATTTTCTTATCAAATTCCTCCCCACCCAAGAAGATCAAACCCAAAGATTTGTTTACCTCTACCTCTGTTTTCACCGGTCTCCAAATCAATTGAACTTTCAATTACATGAATTTCAATGGTAAGAACATCTTCCTCGTTACATTTTCTTCGGCATCTTCATCATCTTCACTTTCAATGTCAACTTTGTCCTGTAGCGCTTTAATTCTGTACTCTCTCTTTCTTGGATAAGTTTTTGAGCAAGATGCTATGCCATTATCTTCTTAATGGTCCATTTGCATCTTAGTTGAAGAAGAGAGCTGCCATGAATGGATAAGAGATTGATTTCATAATAGAGTAGTAGTATGATACTATGATTTCCTGTCTTAAATGCTTAAAGAACTACCAAAATTCAAAGAATGTGACATCCATATGAACAAATCTTGTCCTAGTAGAAAGACCAAGGCATTACACTTTCTAAGCATATCCCAAAAAGACACACTAAATTCAAGATCAAACTTAGTTCTATGGGAATGAAAAATTTGGACAAAACAAGTCATCCAAGCAGTTGTAAGCAATGTTTTGAAAATCATAATCGTATCGTAAATCGTAGAGAAAATTGAATCAAATCGAATCGAATCGAATCGTGAATCGTAAGATTATTTTTTTTTACAAACTTGTCAAAAAATTAAAATAATAGAAGTTACCACTTATACAATAGAAGCCTAAGATGATTTAATCAAGTTTGACTTGAAAATCAAACAAATCTACATACAATGGCCCTTTAACTTACATCTCTAATATATATATATATATTTCAGGCTACAACCCCCACCATTCAGACACATGGCTTTTTATGGCATTTTCTGAGAAGTTGCTGTTAAAGCCTACAGCCCACTACCACCATTCAGACAAGTGGCCTTCTCATTTTCTAGAAATCTAGACATGTGGCAATTTTTGAGAAATTCCTGTTAAAACCCACAACCCACTACCAGGCTACAACTCCTTACCATTCAGACACATGGCCTTCTCATTTTTCTGGAAAGCTAGACATGTGGCATTTTCTGAGAAGTTGCTGCTAAAACCTACAACCCACTACCACCATTTTCAATCCATTCCTAAAAAATTGCAGAAAATGCAAAGGTGGTTATCCACAATCACTTCTGCCTATATTCTATCAATTTCACTTGATCATTAACCCTCTACGTATTATAACAAAAGAAAATTATCCGTATTCTAATAATTATTGAAAAGCTATTTTTTGAAATTTTAATAATTATTTAAAATATTAATAAATATAAATTTAACAGTATTGATTCCATAATGTAAATTTAACATTATTGATTCCCCGTACTTAATACGGGGTCATTCACTAGTAGTAAAACTTAAAAAATAAACTCAATTTCTAGTCTTGAATAATGTACATAAGTCATTTTCTAGTCAGAGCTTTAAAAAAAGTCTCCCATGGCAAAACTAAACATAACAAAAAAAAAAAAAAGTAGAGATCTAATTCTTAATTGAATTTATTTGAATCATAAAAATCGTAAGATTTATGAATCAAATCATAGGATTCAAACAAAAATCATAAGATTTATGAATCAAATCATAGGATTCAAACAAAAATCATAAGATTTATGAATCAAATCATAGGATTCAAACAAAAATCATAAGATTTATGAATCAAATCATAGGATTCAAACAAAAATCATAAGATTTTTGCAGAAAAAAGGATTCAGACATAAGATTCGAATTGAAAGCTTTGGGATTCATGATTCAAACTGTGAATCATATTGTAAATTGTAAGATTTTGACAACATTGGTTGTAAGTGGACTGGAAGAGACATCATCACTAGAATAAAGTAGACTGGAAAGTGTTTTGAAACCAAGGACTTGGGTAGAATACTGTCGCACCATTTTCAAACTTTCTCTGTGAATGTTATAGTAAGAACTTGGGTAGAAGTGGCACAGTCTGCTAACGAGAAGGATAGGGTAACTGTGGAATTGAAACCTCCATCAATTGACTTTGTAAAATTGAATTTTGAAGGGAGTGCTTTGGGCATTCAAGGGATGGCTGGTATAAGGGGAGTTTTCTGAGACTCATATGGAAAAGTTTTGGATTTGTTTCAGGTCCTATAGGAGGAGGTGAGTCATATGGAAAAGTGCTGGCCTTGTTTTGGGCTCTATATGATGGCATTGCTATCTCCACTATGACCATCAGGAGACCTTACCAACCAGATGGTTGGCACCTTGCTGCAAGGACACTGATTGGTAAAGCAATCTGGTTTTTCAGCAATTAGAAGTGGAGGGGGACTTGAAAGTGGTCATTTCTTGGACAAGATGCAATTGTCAAGTTCCTTGGATCTACAAGCATGCTTTTAGAGAAATTGTAAGCCTATCAAGGGAATTAAATGTAGCTTTTAAGTGGCTGAGAAGAACTGCAAATGGGATGGTGGATGCTCTAGAAAAACAAGGGGTTAATGGGCAGCAAATGTTTTGGCAAAAGTGTAATTCATTTTGTATTTTGAGATGGCTGATGCCTTCCAATCTATTGTACTCATTTGTATTTTTTGTAAATTTCTCTTTGCTGATCAAACAAGGAAAAATCGTTTTATGAAATCAATGAACCAAGTGAGAAACCTCATCTCTGGAGCACATCAAATATATCCATGAAAATGAGAAAAACCATCTACAAATAATAAGAATTATGATATCTACCTGTACAAGCAACATGTTATGGTCTCCACACATCTGTAAGAACAAGATCAAAAGTACTAGAGCATCTTTTATTATTTGAAAAATAAGACTGTCTTCAGTGCTTTGAAATTTGACAACTTTCACATTGGAGACTGGAAGGAAACAAAAGATACCAAAGAAATGTAGGACAAATGCGAGCCAAGATGAAGAAAAGGCTTAAAGCAATCTGTTCCTTTTCTTAATTTTATTTTTTATTTATCTCCAAAAAAATGATGAAGAAAAGGACTCCTGGTCATAGCAAATGTGGTCCCAACATCTAGAATGTAGACACCATCTACTTCATGGCCACTCCTAATCATCCTTCTTGAAGTAATTTCCTTAGAGATACAACAACTATAAAAAACTAACTGAATGGTGTAAAGGTTTAGTAATGCTGCTAACACAAAGTAGATTATCACTTATGAACATGTAAAATTGTGGAGAAATTCAAAGCACTAGAAATCCTAACATGACCCTACCTGGAAATAGGTGCAAGTGACCCATTAGCATTAGACACATTATCCCTA